ATTTTAGTATACAAATATCCAAAGGGGTTTTATTCCTTTTATAAGTAAGAAACTGTGAAGCTCAAATCTCTCTAGATAACTTAGGGGAAACAAACAAGAACAAAAAGCCAAAGAAATCCTATTGCTGCTGCACATATATCTTCAATAAGGAGGAGTAAACAAAGGAGTAAACAAAAAACCCAAGGCCAAAACTTGCATCTTTGTTTTATTATTTATGATGCATATGCCGGACATGTTCTTTTATAGTACTTTTATTTCAACCATTTGTACTACCTTTTCATTTTCAGAGAAAGTTTTTTTTTTTATTGCCCTGTTTGATTTTTTACTATTTGAGGCTGACATAAGTGCTCATTAAGAAAAAAATACAAACTCTCTTGGCCTGCTTCTACTGAAGGTGAGACTGAAGTTATAAGATTTAGAATTTTCCATTGACCTTTTCATTTGCTAATCCCATACTCTTGCAATAATTGGCGTGTGGTTCACTGAAGTGTTTCAAACTGTCAACATTTTGGAGTTTTATTGTGTTGATTGAAAGGCAGTGGAATCCAAAAAATGTGGGATTAAATTGTTTCCTCTTTCTCCTTTTCCTCTGGAAGAGCCGTAAAAGTGTCACGGCATGACAGCGCCAGCTCTTTTATATGCTCCAGTTGTAGGCTGTTATCGGACATCTCCCTGTCACCTCAGACGCAGTGAGGGAGGAAGTGACAGGCAGAGAGAGAGAGAGAGAGAGAGAGAGAGAGAGAGACCGCCGCCGTTGCTTAAGAAGCTGGGCCAGGAAGCTGGTTTCACTGGGCTCAGAGATACAGAGGGGCCGTCTCAGAGGAAGCTCATCTGTCAGCAGGAGGCTGGGAAACAGAGTCTGACAATGAGGTGTTAAAAAGGTGGCCATGAGGAGTCCAAGCCAAAGGCAAACAAGCGTCCTGCAGCCGGCCATCTGTCAGGGCTCCGCTGTGTTCTAACAGTGAGGCCAATGTTTAAAAGGTCAGGGCAGGTTGAATAACTGTGCCTGATGTAGGCGGCTAAAGAGTCATTTCCTCTTGACAGCACGCAGCAGTGGTAGGGAAGATGCATTGTGGGAATAGAGTTTAAAAGCCATTTTCAGAAAACTAAACTGATTTTGCAACCCCCCTCCCCTCCAATTTTATTGTAAATCTCATTTTACTGCAGGTGGATGAAAACCGTTCTGTAAAAATATTGTGTTTTCTTCTTTCCTGAAGCAAAAAAATAATTTTCCGTTTTGCTCTGTTGCAAACACAAACCCCTTCAGCAGGAAATCACAGCTAAATATGAGCAATCGGAATGTCCTTGTGTACCTTCATGGCCAGACTTGAGGGTATAGAGGGAACCTGCTTCTATAAATAGAAGTAATAATACCAAATAGAAGAGCTGTGATGAGAAAATAAAAAGCTGGCTCACTGGCATTCACACCAAGCCTAGTTTGATAAAGGAAACACCAAAGCTCAGATTGTTTTCCCACCTGGGGGATATTAAGTTATTAGTTTGTCTTCATTCTGCTTGGCTGAGCGCTCAGCATCTGTTCGACTTTAAATGTTCGCTTCTGTGTTTTTCTTCGGAGTATATCTAAATAGTCACTAAGAGGCTGTGTTTTAATTTGACTGGCATCATTAGGAAGTCTGGTTGATGAAACAAATATCAAACTGGTTTCAGGGGAAGCTTTTGTCAAAATTAAATTCATTTCTCTATTTTTGCATTTTACTTTAATTCTGTTTATTCATATCATCCCAAATGACATATAAATGCTTGATTGTTTTTGTTAATCACTAACTAGCAGAAACGTACCAGTTGATAAGACCAGCAGCTGAGTAGCCGTCAAAAGACAGTTTAGTAGTGCTGTCCATTGCATTGAAAATCTCCAAGAGGTATAGAAGTCTACTGTAGATGCAGCAATTCCTTTGTCAGGTGCTTTGACCAAATAAGAATCACAGCAACTGGAAGAATAACTGGATCGAGAGTACATAATTATAGCTACTTCGAAGACCATAAACAAGAAGGAGAAGCTGCTATTAATGCTGCACTATTTTCTATTGAAATTTAGACAAAGGAAGTGTTGGCCTAGTGGTTAGAGCAGTGCACTTGTGTTCTGAGAAGGGTGCAAGTACCTGGTTCGATCCCCACAGTCTGCATTCTGGGTGCCTGAGCAAGACCCTTAACCCAACACTGATCCCCTGGCACCGCACAGTGGGAGCCCACTGCTCCCCAAGGGGACGGGTTAAATTCAGAGATAAATTTCTGCAATGTGAGATCAATTAAATTAATTTATTATTCTTAAAGAAATGTTTAAACTTCGGTGGAGCTTCCTCAGAATGAGGACACAAGCACAATGACCTCTTTCAATCGAATATCCACAGGATATTTTGCTGCAATCTCAATATGAGTGGGTCTGTCGAGGATGGTCAGAAGCAGTGGGCAAGTATTAAGGACAAAAAAATATATGATACTAATGGTGGCAGTAGCCAGGTCAGTTATTCCGTCCTACAATGGGAATTATCTAAACACAGCTGCACTTGTCAAGAGGTACCTCAAATGACAAAATAGATGTTAAAGCAGCAATATCTTTGTCAAACAATGATCCAATAGTAACAAAGAACATGTCCGAGAGTATTCTCTTTAAACAACAAAAAAAGATTGAAAAAAGCCCTATAAATGACCCAAGTTCACAAAGGAGACACGAGTGAACACAGACGCAATGGACCAGTAGTACTTTCATTAGAGGAAATAAATGCTAAGTTTAGGGCAGAAATAGGTCCCTTACTGATTGAGCACAGTGATGGTTCACCTGGACATTATTTGTAAAGTAGAAAAAAAGAGCAAACGCAAGGTTTTGGTACCAGGCACCACTTATTTTTACAGATAGAAGGGTGTCTGCCTCACAAACAAAAACCAGGAAATGGTTTCATGAGACAGGAGCATGATAAATGATGGGCCTGTGTCCCAAATTAGATACCCCTGGGTTGCTAATTTTAGAAACTTGGGGAAGGGCAATATCTGTCTGTAATTGGTGTTCGCTGTATTGAGTTTGGACATTCCTAGAGTTTAACAAAGTGCTAAAACGTGTGGTAAGAGGCAAGATGAACTCTGTTGTGGAAGCAATATCCTTCTTGTTTTTGTCTACTCATAATAAGCTGCATCATATTTTATATTATGTATCTGGATGCACATGGGAAAGAATAAACACTTCAACTGAAATATGACTGTGATTGATCAACCTGATGCGAAATAATGGCCATCTAAGGATCAGCTGCATGAATAGTCACAGGCTGTAGCATGTATGTTATTGTTGGACTGACAAAAGAAGCAGTGTTGTTCTAAACTGCAGCCAAAAATTATGTAAACACAGAATCAATCAGCGAAACAAGGAAACAGTTGCTTTAGACTCGCCTCTCGGGTTATTGATGAACAGCCAAAATGTCTTGACAGCCTGAATGATGAATGGCAAAAAAACTCAATGTACAACAAACCTGCTTTCCCTTCCAGCTGTGATCGGAAGTGAATATTTCTAGAGACAATTCATACAACATAGTAGGAGTCTCTCATTTTCCTAGATATTGATTATTTCAGCTTTTTAAAGTTTTTCCTGCTTTAACTTGGCTGAGTATAGATGTGCAATAGTGTCTACTTTATGCCTCATTCTACTTGGTAAAATTCATCTTAAGGTAAGATAAACATTATCTGTTTTGCTGATGAAAGTTTGTTACAGTACAGTTTAAAAAAGACATTTACATAAACCCTATCAGTGACATGTTCTCTCCTTCTGACATTAAATCACGCTAACTTTCCTGTTTTAGGTCAGCAAAATGATGATCAATTCTATAATATGCAATAATAAACAACAAATAAAATGTCCCTTTCATCTTCTCTGACACATATCTGCATGAATGTTACTGTTTTCTAGAGAACAATTTTTACTAACCACCTCAGATCTTTGACCTCAGCTCTCCAGCAGAACAGCTGATAATCATGCCCTTACTGTTCCTCAGACACTTGCAGAGGCCTGCATGTTTTTGGCAGGAGTGTAAAGGTGAAATCCAGTAATCACAACTTGACATGTGAATAAGTTCAGTTGGGCATCTAAGTCTGATTTGGATGCTCAATTCAAGACACCTAAAGTTTAGAAGTATATCTAAAGTGAGAAAAATCTTCTGAAAATCAGATATTAAAATAATCATCCAAGCTTTTATCTAATATGCATTGATTATTGCAGTTCTGTTTCGCCTTTAGACATACGGTACTTTGGATAACTACATAATTCTGCCTTCATATTTTTGACTACTTCATCTAGAATTGCCCACATCACTCCATTCTTATCTGCATCTCATTGGCTTCTAATCAAAGTCAAAATTGTCTTTTTAAATTCTGGTCAGGCCCCTCTGTGGGCCCTCTTTTTCAGGGCGTACCCAACAGCCTTTAGGTCAGAATATACTGAAGACTCATTCTAAAAACTTGGGGACACTTGCCATTTCAGGCCGGCCTCTGTTCCTCCGTGTGGCTGACTCTGTGGAAAGTTTTTAATAAACAATAAAAAAATAATTTAAGAAAAGCCTTCGGCTGATGTTTTAAACGTTTCCTCGTATGAATTCATTTACATATCGCCCCCATTTTTTTAAGCACTTAGTGATTTCTTTTTTTATGTGTGAAAAGTGCTTAATACAGTGAATAAATATGACTTGCTCTTATTTACCTACTCAGTTGCTGTAAGTTGATCAGCATTATCTAGCTTGGTTTTTGTACACCTCTCCACAGGTGTTAACATTTCCAGCTGTGGAGAAGTGTACACTGTCTATAAGAAGACAGGAGTGCATCCAGTTTGTTAGGAGATAGCCATTAGCATGTTTTTGTGAGCTGTAAATGTGTGTTTTGCATGCAAATCCATGCAATCCTTGCTTTCTGTTTGCTGTTTATGTGCTCTTGTTCTGCTTCTGTTTGTGTGCCACGCATGTTCCCTCCAACCCCCAAGTACTTAGTGTTTTGTTTGCTTGCAGGTACTCCTTCCAGGATGAGGAAGACATGTTCATGGTGGTCGACCTCCTGCTTGGAGGGGACCTGCGTTACCACCTTCAGCAGAACGTCCATTTCAGCGAGGACGCTGTCAAACTCTACCTCTGTGAGATGACCCTGGCTCTGGACTACCTGCAGAGCCAGCACATCATCCACAGGTACCTATTCATCTTAATGTTTCTGATTTAATTAGAGAGATTTATTTACTATAGGAGAAAGTTTAGGTTGTTTTTGACAGCTATACTTCACTGCATTTTAGTCTTATGTAACAAAAAAGGGGAGAAAATTAGGGCCTATTCACACATCTGTTGTATATGTGGACAGGGAGGGGAACAAACCTCACATCAGTTAACTGTCACCTCTTTTCAAATAAGGCTCAGTGAAAATTGCTCACCTTTATCCTCCATGAAAACTGCTCTCAAAGATACAGTCAAGGTTGCATCTAATAGATTCAGGGGGTTTTATATCATTGCACTCTGGGTCTGAAGCTAGCAACAACATTATTGATGTTTTACTTTCCTTTGCTCCCCTGACTTCAGCTGCAACAGGATGAATTACATTTGAGGACTGTGTGCCGCTGGAATATATGTTCTGTGCTTCAAAGGGAAGACAGCATTAATCTGTTTTTACTGGTGTTTGTGAGTCAGAATCACAAAGTCGCTGCTCCTTTTTCAGCCGTGTCACTAACATTTCTGCAGGATAGAAGCATGATGTGAACATTTTGATTCTCTATCCACTCTGTTGTCAACTCTCAGGTGCCCTTACTCTTTCCTGTTTTAAGACCCTGTTTTACCATGCGTACAGTCTCTAAATACTGTTGTTTGCCCAAATTCAGTGGTGTATATAAGGTTAATAATCAGCGCCTATCGCATTAAGGCAGTGGTTCTCAAACTTTTTCTGTCATTCCCCACTTTGGACAAGGGGGAATTTTCAAGCCCCACCTGTCCCCATCGCCCCAACACAATGCTAATGAAATATGCAACAATCTTAAAATGTTCCAATTTTATTGAACAAGTAGTATCTAAATACAAACTATCTACATCAAAAGACAGCAAGCTCAAAAATAAAGAAAATAAAAATGCAGCTGTGTCAAAATTTGTATCAAGCTCAAAGATAGAAAAAATTAAAGTTCCACTCTGCAATCTGTTAATAAAAGAAAAGAAGTGAAATCCATCTGGCAAGACAGGTCTATTTATCCCTGCATTAGTGGCTGCAATGAGCCTGTTTTGCATTGCACAGTTTCTCAAAACGGGGTTGCAGGCTTGATACTGCCACTCTCAAGTCATGCTCAATGTTCAGCTGAGATCTGTATTTTGTTTTCATTGAAGCAACAGCTGAAAAGCCCATCTCACAGAGACATGATGTGGCAAAGGGAAGAAGAATGCACACAGCTCTCTGCCCGATGAGTGGATACTCCCTCTCCACTCCTAACCAGAATTCACTAAGAGTCTGAGCATTAAACCTGAGCCTTAGGGTGGAGTCAGACGTCATGTCAATAAACTGGTCCTATTTATTTAAGATAAAATATTTCAAATTCAGTTATTTATGATCAACCTGCGCCGTCAATCCCGGCGCATGTGCGCTTTATTTGCAGTCTGGATGCACATGCTGTGTCTCTGACTGCAGCGCTGAGAGGGACTCCTGAGATAGCGGGGGAGAACGGGGTTGGGATGGGGGAGGCGCCCCACGGCAGCACCTGCCGCTGGAGGACAAGAAAAGGAACGATACCTGCTTTCACGTAAGAGTCTCCAAAAGTCGCTAGATTTGTCGCTTTTTTGAAAAAGAGTCGCTGGAGGGGTCTGAAATATAGCGACAAAGTCGCCGAGTTGGCAACACTGGGGCGCGAAAGTTTATTCCGTTACAAATAATATGCCGATGTCACGTCAATCATTATTTTGGCACTTCAGTTCCAGGTGAAATTTTTCTCATATCTAATGTTCTGCATGTAGGCTAGTAAGGATTACTTTGTGGGTTTGATTGGTCTAAAAAGCGGCAACATACAGCTATAAGGACAGTTTGCTCTCACACGTTCTACATTTATAGTCACACGACACACACACACACATCGGAACTTGGCGCGCCCCACCTGTCACGTCTCAATTCCCCACCAGTGGGTCGCGCCGCACACTTTGAGAACCGCGGCATTAAGGTCTCCTTAATGAGCATGCTCTGTGCCAAACTAACAAATATGTGCTTGAGGATCAATCACATATGAGTTTGTTGTTTGCAGTATCATGCAACAGACTCATTGTTTTTCCATGCTTGTTAAACTGAAGTGATTAATATAGAAACTGAATTTAAATACCTTAGGCTATTTCTTTTTCCTAAGCTGAATGCTTAGAAAGATATTTTATAGTTGACAGAATCACTAAAAGCTCAATTCCGACATTTTGGACCTTTCAGGAAGGAGGTTTATGCTTGCTATGACTTTGTGTGGTATGCCTAACTGTGTCATCTGCTTCAGGCAGGCCAGTGTTGCTATATAAATGTTGACTCTTTATTTAGACATTTTTTAAACACTAATGCAATATAATTATTCCAGAATTGTAGATAAACATAACCCTCTGGACCTTAAATGTTTCTAAAATTCCTCTTCATTTGCTCGTACATCTCTCAGAATATCCTCCACACTAGTTTGTGCCAAACTATACTACGTTTGGTTGATTATATTTCTCTCTAAAACAGTAGCATGTGCATGCTACCAAAACAGCCTATTAGCCCCTATATTCCCTTAAGCCCTGACCGTACTGGTAATGTATTCTTTGCCCATTTTTTCATTCTTGAACAGGTCTGCAATTATTTCTTTGCCAAGGAGGTTAGGTTGTTGTGAGAGTCTGCATGTATGTGTGTCTGTCTATGTACAGGATTACTTGAAAAATCATGAACGGATTTTAATTTTTTTTTTTAAGTGTCCCATATGCCAAGGAAAAATCCATTACATTTTGGTGATGATCCACATCATAATCTGGATACAGGAGTTTTCGTCATGATTCTCTAACATTGTGAGATAGGGATATTTAGAAGCAGGTTCCCCCTAAACCAAAGGGTGGCAGCAGTGAATACTGTCAGCCTCAGCATCAGACACAAAAAGTACTAAGATATTTGAAGATGAAAACCCCAGAAAAGGGAACATTGTTGGTTTGTTTACAGGATCAAATTAAAATTTATGAACAGATTTTATGGATTTTTTTTTTTTACTAGAGGTGTGCCTCATGCCAAGGAACAATTAATCTAAATGTGGCAATGATCCAAGTAATGTGTGAGTTTTAGCTACAGCTGTAAGTCACAATTTGGCTAAAAAATGTGCTGCTTGGCAGAGGTCTGCGCTCTCTGAGTGCTTTTATAGTTATGCTTTGTTTTATTGCTTATGGCCTTCAACACTTTAAACAAGCATGATGCCATTTCAAGGTCTATCAAACATGGCAACATTTACAAAAATTCTTCATAACACATATATGTCCTCATTTCATGGCTTCATGGTTGGTATCCTCTGAAACAGGGAAATCTGAGCCTTCCAATAAACTATTGCATACCTTCATTCAGAGTTGTCAGGTAATGCAATTTCCATGCGTAATGGAGGTTCTATATGTGGCAGACATGGTTGATTTACTCACAGGTCATTTCACAACTGCGTCAAAGATTGGTGTTATATCAGGTACATATCATGACCCAACAGAAGGCCATATGTGAAATGAGTCGTACCAGCTGTATTAGCACTTTTATTTGAGTAGACACTTGGTTATGATGTCAAGACACATTCAGATAAATTGGGCCAAAATCACTCCTGGAACACTATCCACTGTTTAGATGGTCGTTTTTGAGACTAAATATAATTACTGTACAGTAAGCCATGATCAGGCATAAGCAGACATGCACCATCTGCAGGTAATACCGTGGAACTATCTGAAAGATATGTGGCAATGTTGACGCAGCTACTGAATGGCACACGAACATCCTGAAAACTTTGTGGTAAAGCGAGAGCTTGGTGTGGTGGAAGACCAACCTGATCTACTGCAGCTCCTGTGCGCTAGTCAATCCCCCCCATAGCCTCCTAGCAAAATATAAGGAAAATGAAATGTCCTTTTCTTTTTAAATGCAAACAGGGAAAAATCATCAAAGTCATAAATATTTTAATTAAATGCATTTAAAAAAAGTTGTTAACACAAGTTGTTAATGTGAGAGTAGAGGTTGGTTGTGGACCCAAATGCAGATTTGAGTTGTTGTAGGTTTAATGAAGTTAAAGGAATAGTACACCCAAAACATGATTAGCCTTCATTTTCTACTCACCCCCATGCTGAACAACACTCTGGAGTACTTTTTTGATATCTCAAATGCATCTGGAGATCTGGGAGGCTTCTTGCTGTCTGCTGACATTCAAATAATGGAGGTCTATGGTGACCGAGACAGAAAGGTCCATAAAAGTCCACAAAGAACGTGTCAATATTCCTCCATACTGCTCGTCCAATGTATTCCAAGTGTCCTGAGTGGGTAGCATCCAGAATTTACTCGAAACGAAGTCATTTAGAATGTTTTTAGAGCATAAACAGTAGTGTATAGGATTTCCTGAAAGCGCGCACATGCGCGGTCACAAAGCTACGGAGCAGGTATGGATGGAATTGACTAGAAGTGGACCTTCTATGTTTGAAAAGGTAACGGTCATGTAGCTCCACAGAAGGCTCAGTCTGGAAAAGAAACATTTAAGCCATTGAGCTTTGCACCAGTTTTCATGCTAAAAGCGATGAAAGAGAGCATATACAGTTTGTAATGAATCAGTCACTGTAAAAGCTAATCTAGAGTAGCCTTCTGGATTCTGGGAGCTGTGACTGAAAACCTCCCAGTTGCAGCTGAACTTGTACTTAGACTGAAAAGTTAACATAGCATTGCTAATACTAGTATCAGTATCGGTGAGGATCTTTACTCAGGCATCCATGAGCTTTCCAGCGACACGCCTCTGAGGCTTTAGCTCGTGTTTCTGTTAACACCAACATTCATACCTTCTTCCACTATGAGCACTATTCACGCCCTATCCCTTTTGGACTCATTTTTATTTTTACTTTTCATACCGCACTGGATGTTGGACTTTTCTTTATTATTTACAGAAGTTCACTGGGAGGTTCTAAATTGCTTAGCACATTACTTCCTTGTTGAACCATGCACA